ATTTTATTTAAGAAAAGGGAGAATGTCATTACTTCATTTGTTTTTGAGCAAAACTGCAGGTCATTAGAACAAAAGCAGTATATTCCTTCTGTGAACAATAACGATATTTAATTTTATTTAAAAGAAGCATGTGATGCTTGGAGCATTTCATTTCATATTTGTCGTTATTTGGTTAAAAATATTTGTGAAACTACAATGAAGCTTTTTGTACTTCTGTTTATTCTGTAGTTTTCACGGTGCTTATGGCGCTCACCAAGAGTAAGAAATAAATCGACACCTGTTTGAAACGCTCTGCGTCTTGAGTAATGAATCCGAGGGGATGCTACACCCGAAGAGAACCCACGCTGCACGGGGAGACCATGTCAACTCCACGCAGAAAGATCCCAGGTGTCCTCACCGGGATGTGAACCGATGGCCTTCTAGCTGCGAGGCAACGGTCCTAACCACTGATCCACCTTGCTGCCCCTTAAGGAATATATGTTGGCCACATTTTCCAACCAAAAGTATTAAATTCTGGATCAACCGTACAATGTAAAAACAAAAAAAATCGGAGCAGCTGTTTTGCTGTTGGTGTAGCTGACTGAAGTCTGCTAAGTTTCTTCAAGGACTACTTTTGCATCACCTTGCTCTGACTTTTACATTTTCCTCTGACAACCACAAACTGCTTCATGTTGTCACTTCCTTTCTGTCGGAAGAGATTAGTACATGTTGGAAGACAGTATGTCACAGTGAATCAATCAAAACACTGGTAGTGATTGAGCAATCAAAATGTATTTTATAAAGCAAGTTAAAGCAAAGAACTGTCATTACAAACATTCTTTATGATGAAATTGTACACTTGATTAATCAATCTGCATTTGTGAAACAAAAAAAAAAAAAGAAAATCATCTTTCATTGCAAGTCACAGAAAATCAGCATCCAAAGCAATAACATTTTTCAAGGTTTAATTAATCCAAACTCTTTAACTTCTCATAACTCATGCATATACTTTGTCCTTAGATTGCTAAACATTTTACAAGCCATTACTATATGATACACCTTAACTAAAGATATTGAAAGAAACATCTTACTGAGGGTTTTATAAAGACCTTATTACATCCACAAAGTACTTTAATCAGACAAAGAAGCGCTTTCATGGGGATTCTATTTTTAATATCATAAAGTACCATTTTTAAACTACTAATTAAATGCAGTTATGATCAAACACCCCGATAAAGGTTTACAAGTCTGTTCCAACACTATATGTCATTTTCTATNATTTTAACTACTGTAAACAAAATCAAACCTATTTTTATATTGTGGAACCACGTCTCACCCAGTGTGTTGTGAACCTGTGTGCTTTTTAAGGAGTAGTGTGGGTTTCCTGGGTGTGAACTTTAAACCCAGGGGGCGTTGTCGGTCCACACTTACTTCCCCTTAGTCTATTATTTAGGCAAATCTATTCGTAGCGCCCCCGCACGCCCACTCACAACATGTGTCACGGACCGAATTGTTTTACTGGATTATGTTCACTGGTTGTGTCCGGACAGAATGAGACCAAGCTGGTGAGGAATGAGCGATGTTTGAGCTGCAGAGAGCCTTCAACAGTAAGAAAGGTTGGAGTTTAACATTTTGCTTTTCTGTACAAAAAGCTCTTTGTGTCAATGCTGTGGTTGCTGCAAGTCAAAAAGGTTTATATCATCGGAAAGAGGAGACTCTGAGCTTTCATTTGATGTGTATGTTGTTGGGAAACTTGATTGTGGAGCGAGCACATATGGCTGTAATGTGTTTGGAAAGTGGTCACGTCCCGCCGGCGGGACATGGGTACGGTAAGAGGTTTTAAGCTCGTCAGACATTTGAGTTTCCCCTAATGTTAAGACGCCAAAAAAAAGAAAGGAAAAAAGAAAACATAATGATTGTTCAAGAGCCTCAAAACATGAGTCTGAAATCTTTTGAGCACAAGTCCAAGTCAAATCTGAAGTCTCTCTGTGTGCGACTCGAGTCCGAGTGGTGGCATCATCTTCTGTTCCTGCAAAAGGTAGAAATCTATCTCCTATGAATAGATTCATGAGTTATCAATTCTTCACTGGGTTTCAGACAACTGCATCTATTGTTCTCAGCTGCCTTTGTAGCCCAGACTTCTCTCTATGAATCTGTGAGACTGACTTGTGCCCTTTTGCAGTGGGACAGATGAACCCAGGATGTCCTTTCAGTGATTTTGACTGCAGTGGGGGTAGTTAGGAGTACTTGATAAGGTCCCTCCCACCTTGGAGGTGACCAGGACTTCCTTTTAAAAACGTGTTTGCTTATTTTCCCATCAACGTGTGTGTGATTCTTTTGCTTTGCCTGATGTGTTTGATTATTAATCTGTTTTGCTATTTTCTGACTAACTTGCGGTCTGTTTTCTTTTTGTGATGAATTTACATTGTGTGATTTCGTTGTGTAGAAGTACGTTGATTATTGGCCTGTTTTATATTTTATCTTTTGAATATTTTAAAGTAACTAAAATATGTATTTTTTCTCATTTAAAGAATCACGTTTCAAGCCCTTGTGTCTCTTACCTGCGTGTCTTTACGGTGTTACTGTCCTGGAGGAGAAATTCCCCTAGGTGGTGTTGTCGGATCAACAACTTGGGTAATTCTCTTCTATTGTATTAACTAACCTGACCTTAACTCTGCCACGTGATGTTCCTGTGAGGGGAATAATAGAAGAGACTACTTATCTTTTTGTTTGTATGGTCTTCTTATAATCTGCCAATGTCATTTCCTCATTTTTTCCTCTATCATCGGTCAATTTAAATTGTGGTATTTTATATG